TAGTGAGTAATGCAAGAGAAGTCTTAAATTCAGTATATATTTTGTTCCAGATACTTGGTGGTCCCCCAAAATATGTTGGTCGAACGAGAGCCAATTCTTCCATGAGTCGAGAAGGATCTTCTGTGGAAAATCCTGTCCGCCCTCCGGAGAGAAAAGTTGTAATAACAGCATCACGATCAGCTGCCCATGCCAATGGACGATAAGACAATGTAATACGTTCGAGAGAAGAAGGTAGACACCATCGTGGAAATGTTGCTCGAAAGGCACTTTCTGAGATCATAGCTCCTTTAGGAAAACCAGTACTGCCACTAGTATTTATAATTGTGAGGCAATCGTCTGGCTTAATAGTGACATAATCATACTGTTTGATAGAGCCAGCTTGTTCGATATCACCCATAAAATGGATGGATGTGCCATTATCTGGTATACCTATTAAAATTATATTGACAGTTATGTCGAAAAAAGACGAACCAATAATTTCAATATTCTCTAGTTCCTTGACTGATCAACCACTGAAAATGTCAAACAAGAAAGAACTTTGTTTTCTAAGATTGTTTCAAATGTATCTAAATCGGTAAGTTTGCATTGCAAATGAAAATCAAAGTTTTTTCGAGTTTAAATTGATTTTTAGGGTTTTCCTATCAAAACAGCCATTTACAATATCACTATAGATATGTCAAAGTATTTTCTTCATACTTGATCATGTTTCTCACATCATTTTTCTGCAAATGCTGCGAAACTTATTTTGCACAAATATCATACACATGCTAGTTTGATCAATTTCTATTCAAAAAAAGTAACATTTAGTATATTCTTGAAAGCTAAGAAACAAAGCTGAAAGACAGATATATCTTGTCTGTATAGGTAAGAAAATGGCAACTATCATTCTATGCTCTCGTGTTTATTTATAATCACCAAAATTATCAAAACACTGAAACTCATTAGATTTCTTCTAATTTCACTGAAAATTGTAAACAATTATACTAAACCAACCGTTGGAACAACGTAGTTTAGTTCATTTTGAATCTGATAAAGCCTAAGAAAAGAAAACTTTTCACAATAACTTCATTCGATAGTTTCTCAAGGAGTACTCTACCAACAAATCATTGTGAATTTTAATTAGAACTAGTTCTGATGCCGCACTATCGACTTACTAGATATTATATCGATTATAGGATCCATGCAGACAATATGTTGGAGTGATGGACATTGTGACTGTAGATCAATAAATCTTTGTAGCGTTTTCTTGTCACAAACAATAACTGACACTTTTGTGTTTTTAATGATATATGCGATTTCACGATCATTAAACAAATAATGTATTGGCACGCTAACAATATTTTGGAAGATGCATGCAAAATCCGTAATCATCCATTCAGGTCTGTTTCCTGCGCAAATAGAAAGATAACCTCGTGGTTCAATTAAACGTCGTAATCCGTGTCCAAAGTTCTTTGAGCGATCACCTATGATCTTAAATGTAAGCCACGAGTATGAGTCCATATAATGGGAAGGATTTTCTTTGTCAACATCGCGTGTACCCATACAATGACGATCTGAATACATTGCTATTGCTGCTCGAATAGCAGTAGCCATGTCTACTCCAGCACATTCTTTTGTTTCTTCACGACCATATGCAAGTTCAGGAACCATTCGATGAGGATGCGGTGGATCGACTGTCGTAAAACATTGTTCACAGTAATCATAATTATCGCAGACTGTGCAATTGAAACGATATTCTCCATGCAACAGACATCGAGTGCAAGCATCACAGTACCAGTAACTTGGTTTCATAGGTTCAGTCATTGTAATGACAATCTTGAACAGAAAAAAAAACGGATTAAGATAAAATAAATTACTCCTACGAAACCTTTTAACATTGGTGAATATTAAAGAATGGTTTTCAAGGATGATCAATATGAAGAATCAATGTGAAAACTCTTATGAAGCTTTATAGAAGAAAAGGCTCATTGTTATTATTCCTGTGTGCTCTTTGAACAATGTAAACACAAACGAAGTGACTTCTGGAAGATGGTTAACAGAGGCATTCACCTTATCTCTTGTCTAAATTTGGAATAAATGCTGTGATTTCTAAATGTGTGAATAGTACCTGAAGATATTCTAATGTAGCAAGATAAAAGAGTGATACAACATACAAACAAATTGTCCAAACGTAACGCTGTTACACTTTCTTTTCATAGATTATTGAACTCCTATTCATCTATAAAGATTGTTCTGAATCAGTTTTTATAAATTGCAAAGAGATTTAGCTACGCCTTTTCAATTAAAGATCGTGTTGGCTTCTACAGAGGTTTCTTAGGTCTCTGTCAGACTCGAAATTTCTTGCTGTAACAAAATATATTTCTGTTATAGGTTCAAAACATGCTCATAGGTTCTTAGACACTATAATTTAAGTGCATAGTACCTTAAGCACTAGTAGTTTTCGAGCTGTCAACGTAGGCTCCGTCTCCTTTGAACTGGGTATTTGCTTTTGGTGTTGCTAATAATCATTTTTTCTACTATATTTTTTGGTTTTATTAATCTAAGTCAACAAAAACCTAGTTAGAGATACGTTTTCCTATATTTTATTGACTGCCCAAACATACGTATACAAAGAAAACAGAAGCCTAAATAGTATTACCAATTGTGAATGTCTACTATCAATATTTCATACCTCCTTGTTGGTTAAAAACATAGAATAAATACGTATTACTATTTGAAATTATGTCCCAGCTATATAACCTGAGAATAGCACAAAAAATTCGGTTTTTCGTAGCATCGTTGCGTTTATTCAGTCAAACATGCATTTTTTTGGTAAGAAAGTAGTGCATCAAAACCGCTACCAAAAATTATATCTGGTCCATTAGTTTGTTTACTGATATGCTGTAACTGGTTCTCCGAAATTTCGAAATGAGGTGCTTTTCGTAATGTTTCTACGATGATATTGATCGAGTATTATTTTGAGCGTATCTCAATGTGGAGAAAAAGACGAAATGTTATTTTTTTTGCTGAAAGATAGATCGTGCTTGATAGTTTACAGAACATTTAATAGGGAGAATTTGGAGTTAGACATTGAGGTGCGCGCTGAGATTCAATGGAAGGCACAAAAAATTGTAAAGGACACTATGGAAATTAATATTTAATGTGCACGCTGTTACACACCTACAGAAAATAATTTTGGAATAACGAAACATAGCATCATACACTCTCGGGTTCGCTCTAGAATGTAGCATCAATATTTATTACAATTATCACATAAATACTTAATGTCGAAAATGACACGTCACATGAACGAGCCTAAAACGAATAGTCTGATATGTTATTTCGTTGGCTCTTTCTACAAGTTGAATCCGATTGTAGGAATTCTCTCTGAATAAATAGAAGTAGAAAATAATACTTATTTGACTACTTACCCATCGTATAGCATTGAGAATTAAAACATATACGTACCCAGCATCTAATTAAAATATTGCACAAGAACCTCGCAAGAAAAATGACTAAACAATGATACATTCAGCCGAATGTAATAATAACACAAACCGTTTGCAAAGCATGCTGTCATATTCACAGAACGACAAAGATTTTGCTTTCTTTCTTACTATATTTTTGATTCATATGTGTTACATCATGTATGAGTCATTTATATTTAACAACAAGAAACATTTCAGCATCAAACACAATAATTGAACAAAAAAAGGTTTGCTATTTGTTCATTCATGCATGATGTAGAAACTACATTATATGTATATAATATTCAATCATTTTTATTTCTTTGCTGTACATCAAAATGAAAATAATCAGTCGTGTTACGAAATCAAAGTTGATTTGTTCAATAATTGAAAAAGTGAGTCAAATACTCATATTCTTTTCGAAAATGTAAAAATAATGTTTATTTACAGAATATATATAACTTTCTCCTCAGATATCTCTATCCTTTGTATTTCTGCTTCTCTACTAGGTCACGTATTGTTTTACTAGCTCATTCAACAGAAAAAGACTTTCCATCTGCCAAATCATTGATCTTATTATATTTAATAACAACTAATCATATAGATAATAACATCCTATCCAGTCGCAGGTTAACTAGCCTCCATAAATAATACATGTACTTTCTATACGAGTTTTTATGAAATATTCTAAAATAAACTCATGTTGTTCATCGCTAGTAAGTAAATATTATTTTGACCAGTGTAAGCTTTGTTTTTTTCAAAATAAGATTTCTTTCAAATGTCTATTTATATTGATAGTATTTTCTAAATTTACAAAAGGCATTAAATGTCAGAGATTTATATTTCGTATTCGTTACACCATCGATCTTCATTGACGTGAAAAGTATGCTTCAGATGTTGTCTAACCATTTCTATTTCTTCCTTCAAAGACATAGAGTCTGTTATATGTATGTTTCGTCGTTCAGCGAAAGCTATCAATGTATTATAAATCGACGCCTTAAATAGGGCTTCGTCATCAGTTTTATGTGTCTCGTGATAGTTCATTTCGATTTTGTACTTCATCAAGGCCAGCTTAGCTTGGCTGGTGTTGAGCTCGTTGCTGAAGAAGCTGGGCAATGACCATGTTCTTCTCAGAAAATATTGATGCAACGAGATCAATGGATTTGGCATGATCACGGTAGTTGCACCGTAAATTTCGCCAAGCTTGGTACCCGATAGATTAGGAGCCGATGATCGAATAGTCGGTGAACATTGAAACAAGGAGACCAATGAATTAGAGCTGG